AAGATTCTGTGAGATGTCAGGAGTTAACTGTTAAATGTATAGGTTCTAAACATGAGCTGATTAACCAAGTTACAGAAACAGGTCCTGCCTTTAGTTTCAAGAAGTCTTAGCCCTGATGCCACACCAAACTGGATCCCAAAACCTTTCATGCATTCACAAAAACAGATAAATGCAAAGAGAGGCTCTTTAACACAAGTTGTATTTTAGGTCCCTTTGCACTAAGAGCATGATATACATATTCAGCTGTTTGGGCAGCTTGAAATTGTACTTGTTCTCTGTAAGAATCAATAAAGGCTATGATGTCTTAGAGGGATTTCACAGAACTATACAGGACATAAAATAGCTATTTATTGGTATTTAAAGAACAGATATATGTATGTCAGTCGGCAATGAGTGAAGCTGAGATTATATTGTACATATGTCACTGCAAATTCGACCCGCTCATGCCTTTAGGCCAGTGAGAGAAATCCTAAAATGCCTCCAGTGTGCTGGAGAAAAAACATGCAGTTGAGCTGTTATATAATCTACAGTGATGTGTAAGGAAGAATTAACCTTCGCTGACGTATTTTGAGACTAAGGTGTTGAAACCCCCCCCTGAGAAGTGTTTCTAATATTTTGTTCTCCCAATATAAGTCATGTAACACCATCATATGCCAAGGATAAACAATGAGTTGGTCCACTGAGGTCTTGCTCTCTCTCTCAGGACTCATCAAAACCCATTACTCTCCATCTATGAATAAACGTACTATCATGTGAAAATTAACTTCGCTGCGCAATTTTGGACTACAATTTGTGGAATAGAAGATGATACCACATGTTATTTAATAAAGAGTGCCCTAGAAACCCTATTTCCCGTTAGGTTTATTAATTATCACACAGTGAATTGACATAATTATATTCTTATTTAGAAAAGGTCCATAAGTAACAGGGCCTAAAAGCGTGTAAAAATAACACTGCACGTGAGCCAGCGATGGTCGTATTGAATTTCGCATGAAAACCTTTAATGCAGCACAAGTTGTAAATTCAGTCTATCTGAAAAAGAAGATGAAGAGATAAAAACAAACATTCTCTAGATTATATTAGTGAGTTACTGGCATAAAGCATAATATGCACCTACAAAATAAGAGTTGCCACAAACCTGCATGCAAATATAGTAAATCTCTATGATGGTTTTTACATTGAAAATTCGTAAAAAATACTGCACGTTTAAAAAAAAAACATAAACGCATTCCTGCCTGTGTAAACATAACAGATAAAAGAGGGAGTGAAGAACCAGACTCAAAAAAAAAGAAAGAAAAGATGAGCTACCACAAGAATATCATCTGATGCACCTTAGTAGAAGCTGCAATCCTGTGAATCCAAAACTATCATTCATCTACATCTCCAGAGAGGCCAAAATGCAGATACAAAAAAAGAATTAAAAAAGGAAAAAAAAAGAAGAAAAGAATACCCACTGAATTGAAATGTTCAGGCATAAGAAATCTAAACCTAAATAGGCTCACAGTAAGATTCTCAATGTGACCCAGTTTATAGAAACACAATGTAATTCACTGCAGGGACACATTGGCACATATGTAGGTAAAAAAGCAAGGCGGTAAACAAGCTCTTTTGCAATAAGTGTCTAAAAAATATGGCACACTTTCAGCTTGCGTCTCTCCTCCTAAAACTGACCCTAAAAACAATATCACCAATAGTATTATTACTTTGCTACTGTATCTATTAATTATAGTGGTTTGACAGTACGATATTAAAAAGTTATTCTTTTACAAACAGAACTTAGAAAGTGCAAACAAATCTTGACATCATGCAAACTGGATACATTTTGAGCCAACACGTGACGTTTGTCATTCAGCGGATAAGAGTTGAAGTCAAGAAAGTATTTTGGTTCAGACACATCCTGAGGTGGAAGGTAATTTTGGTCCACTACAAATGATAACTTATCGTACATTCAACTTAGTGACACCGAGATAAAAGAATCAAAGAAGACATCCAAGTAGTCCATAAGCTCTTTGTGGGTTAGACACCTGATGAATGTGTCCACTGAGACAATGTCTTACATTCCCTTGAGAAGTAAAGAGCTCCTGTCCTCTCAGGATAGGAGGAGTTTCATTGTCGTGACGTGTTTTTTTCCGAGAAAAAAGAAGGTCATTTAAAACTCTCCGCATAGAAAAAAAAAGATTTCTGATTTGCAGCATCTGTACACTTTTTCCTTCACCGGCAGGATACAAAATGCTCCGTTATGTTTTCCCGAACTGACAACAAAATCGGAGGGCGAGAAAAATGTGTCATGTCTGACCTTCTGATTTCAGGCAAAATTATCTGAGCTGTTTTCTTCTGGACAAATGCTTTCAATAAAAATCCACATCCAGCCGAGTCTGAAAATGTTACACGTTAGGGCGGTTTGTCAGTAACAAAAACATCACGTTTTGTACAGAAACTCAACAGCAAGCAATAAAAAACAAATTATGCTTTTTATGTTTATGGTAATAGATACTGCAAAATATACAACTGAATTAGTGTTTTCTAATACCTGCACTTCCTAGATCCTAGAGAACTGAATGTAATATTGAGATTAATTTGCTATTTTGACATAATCCAACAACAAAAATATTTGGTTAATTTCCCCATTTATGATTAATAATGATTTTCTAATGAATTAAAAATGCAATGTATTTAAAGTTGGTTTTCTTCTGAGCTTATCAGTGTGTTCTTTGGAGTTTAAAACTGAGTTGGAAATGTGTCAGAAAAGCATTAAAAGGTCTTTAAAATGCCCGTATGCGTGTTTCGGTTTGTCAAGTTTTTCACTCAGTTGATGACAAAAGCAGTGACAGTGCTCAGCTTTATGTCAACATTTAGTATTTGCAGTCCTGCCGCTCAGATAATAAATCCTCTTATTTTTATCTTAGCCCTCTCAGTAAGGGCATGTGTGGGTGCATTCAGTTTCATTAACATGTATGTTTTTACAAAAACTGCTTAAACATTCATAATATCCACATATAGAAAGGCATCAAAGAGTTTGGTCCAGTCTCAATGTCTGTCTTGTGGAGTTTAAAATACTCCAAAAAGACAATAAATGGGAAAAAAAAATTGTGTAAATCGAGCAGGTTTAAAGGGAGGAGGAGCTCTGGCTGTAGTGTCTCAGCAGCAGCTGGTCGTATTCAGCCTCCGAGCCCGGGGACAGGGTGGGGGGCGAGCTGCCATTGGAGCTCAGAGACGAGTCCCTAAATGGGGAGGGAGGCGTCAGAGCCATCAGCTCCTCCATATCCTTGGCTCGTCTGCCGCTCACGCATGTCCCGGCCAGGTGCTCATAAATCTTACCCGCCGGTCGATTCTCGCAGAAATTGGAGACGGCTGTCACCTCGGCGTACGTGGTGACAGTGGAGGGGGCCTGTCTGCTTCTGGATGTGAGGTACTGAGGTGGACAGGGGGTGTTATCAGCAGCAGCAGCAGCAGCAGCAGCAGCAGCAGGCAGGGCGGTGGTGGAGGTGCTGACAGTGGCTCCCCCTGGCAGCATCATGGTGTTCAGCTCACTGATGTTGGCGGTGAAGCGGTTAACCACACAGCTAATTTGGTCCATGATAGTGGTGCCCTGAGTCTGAACGCCAATCATCCCTATGCCGATGTCTCCCACCCCTATGATGCTGATGTCGCCGCCGTCCATTATGCCAACGCCTTGGTTGGTGTCCCCGCCTCTCCTTCTGACCCCAGCAGGGGCCTCAGGTACGTAGGTGGGTAGAACCTGTGCATCCTCGCCGTCCTCTCCTCCCTGGAGGCTCCTTGCCTTTGCTGCATGCTGGCTGATGGTGGGCTCAGGTGACTGAGAGGGCGAGCAGGTGAAAGACGGAGAAACTTGTGGCTCTTCAAATTGCTCTTTGGCACCGTTGTCTGCTGGCGGATCTCCTCCTTTAGAGAAGGGCTTGATGATGGCTGTCTGATTCACCTCGACTGGGTCCTTCTTCTTGACGTGGAATGACATCCTCTTCCACAGGTTTGGTCTGTAGCTGCGCTCGTTCTGTGTCCACGTCACGGATTTCCCATTGGAACTGGAAGATAGCAAAAGATAGGATAAGATAAGATGAGATAATGCAACGTAAGATGAGATAAGATGAGATAATGTAATGTAAGATAAGGTAAGCTAAGATAAGATGGTATACTGACAATGATTCTTTGATTGTACAGTAAAGTAAAAAATGTTGTTTGTTCATGATCAAAGCGATATTAAATATGACACATCTACAGTGCAAGACTGCAAGTCTTTTCTACAGCTACATTGTTATATGTAAACCCGTGCAGTTTACTCCATATTACCATCAAACCAAGACAACACTGAAAATCCAACATCTACAGTCAGGTTCATGATCTATTTCAGTATCTGTCAGTATTTCTGCTATCTTACATTCTGCCTTTTGCTTCCTGTGTAATACCAAGTCTCCCTCCGTGTTCTTTTATCTTCCCTAGAAAGAGAAATCCTTAAAGGCAGTGGGGATCCTGTGGGAGTACGTAACCCAAATGAGGTAGCCTTTTCTCAGCTCAGGGAGCAGTTTTTCTTGGCTTCATATTCAGCCTGTTGCAAAGGATTCAGCTCTATCTAGACAGTTTTAGTAGAAAGAGGCATTGTTATGTTTTTGGATATACTATATCTCAACAGAAGTTTCTTGTCTGTACATGGACAGCTAAACAATGAGAGTAATTTAGATTGCCTAACAAAAGCACAGCAGGTGGCTACACTGCCATCTCTTTTCAGCTCTCCTCTTTTAGCTTCCTCTCACTGGATTTTTATGTTTTATTACCTTACAGGATTAAATCGTGGTCCTTAGAGGAGTGTGCAGCCTCTATGAACAACATTTATGGATTTTCTTTCTGATTTCATAGTTTCGCAAGTGTTTTTATAGTGCAGATATAGCAATTAACTGGGAAATATGAGCGCAATCTAAGGCCAAATTGGACACAAGAGAAGAAACTGTTTTAGTGCAGATGAATATGCTAAAAGTTAAAAACAAATTAGTTGCTGAAAGTAAATAAGAGCTGAATAGAGCCTCATGTCTGGGGGAGTGAATGCAAAGGTTGATAGGTTTAGTCTGTATTAAACACTCTTCTGTCAAGTTTTTTACAGTAATGGATAAAAAAAAAAGAACTCTGACACCTTAAAGCTGACAGTATGGCAGCTTAATCACTGTATTTGCTCTTTTTGAAATGCTCAGGAAAGCATTTTTAAAATGTTGGAACATGAACTGCTCGAATTTTGAGCAACTCTTTTTCAATATAATGAGAACTACTTCAAGAGGCCATTAAGACGCCTCCAGTGTTTTATCTAGCTTCATGCCCACTCCGGTCCCCCCCGTATACCTTATGTTGTCCTGCGCAGAGCCTCGCCGTCGAAACAAGTTGGCCATGCTGCTTGAGGATTTGCCAGACTTGGCAGCTTTCTTAGCGTCGCCGACGTGCATGCGTACAACTGTGGATGTGGTGAAAGCACTGCGGACATTTTTCTCAGGCTTTGCGAGCATGATGTACACCTGACCGTGAAAATGAGCAACAAATAACTGTTAGCGTGAAGACACAAAGATAATACCAAAAAAAAGACAACAGAGTTATTATAATTTAAACTTTCTTTGTTTCTTACCTTGGGGACAAACATGCAGCAGAGGGCCACTGTGGCACTGAGGCTGACACTAAAGCACATGGTTATGATTTTGTAGTTGGACCCAAAGTAAATAGGAACAAAGGCCAGCCAGATGATACAGGTGGTGTACATGGTAAAGGCAATATATTTGGCCTCATTAAAATTTGCAGGAACATTGCGAGTCTGTAGGAGAGAAGCAGGAGTAGCATAAGGTGAAAGAGTAGAATGTATGGATAAGAAAAAAAACAGGAATACATACATTTACCTCGGAAAGTATATAAAACAGCCTTGTATTATTAACCAATGTTATAGTGAAGTACCTTGAAGGCGTAGAAGGTGCAGCTGAGGATAAGCAGGCCATTGTAGCCCAGTGGCGCCACCACCCCCAGAGTGGTCAGATTGCAGATCAAGTGTACCTCCCGGATACTTGGGTAATCATAGATCACCTGAGAGGAGAGGAAGGAAGAGGTCGATGGAGTGATATAGATAAATGTAAATGATCATCCCCCACATTATAGAAGACACACACACACCTGTGGTGGCTCTATGATAAGAAGTGCCACAATAATTCCCAGCTGCAGCAGTATGAGTAGGAAGGCGATGACCAATTGTGCGCAGGCGGACATAAAGCGCGGCTTCTTGGTGCAGATCTTCTTCTTGCTGCCTGCCAGGATCCGTGCTATACGGTTGGTCTAGTTCAAAAATAGATCAAATGGTTATGCTGGCTTCAATTACATCGACTGTAGATGAAACGTCTTGCACTGATTCACGACAATAATCCCCTTCGCCAATATCTAAAACATCAACCTCAGCCCACACACATGGATCCTCTTCTTACCTTGCCTGCCTTACCATTGGCTATCATTTCTGTTTCTCTTTTCCTCCAACCTGCATCCTCAGTTGCCTTTCTATATGCTGCTGACCTCAAAAACACGGGTCTATAATGTCTGATGAAAACTGGTTATGCAAAGGTGAAATTATAAAAGGTACCATGAAATTAAATACTCCCTTGCTATGTCAAAGTGTTAAAGCCTTTTTAAATTAATCATCCGGCACTCAGAGATAATCCCACACTGCAAAATAACGTTTGATTTTAAGCAATTTAGTCTGCTGTGCAACATGTGTACAAGGGTGACTCACCAACAACAGTGATGTCTATTTGCAGTTGAGCTGCTCTTTTCTCTGCCAAAGGCTACAGTATACAGCAAGTTTTTGGCAGTAAAAGTAGAGTGAGTCTGCTTTCAAAAGTAATGTTATTAATAGTTTTTGTCTATCAATGAACTTAATACAAAAGGCAGTAAACAGAAAATCCTAAATCAAATCAGCATTTGGAAAGACCACTCTTTGTGCATAGTTTTCTGTGGATTTAGGCTGTCTCAGCTGTAGCTTCATGTAATCCCAGACTGACAGTTCTTCATGACTCTGGCTGTCATCATGCTGTAGATTAAGATTGGGAGCAGACAGATACCTCCCTGATGACATTGTGTGTTGAACTGTACAAAAATCTGAACAACAAAGTGCTTAAAATCTTTGCACAATGAAGTATGTAATATACGGAATATCTCCTTTAGCACTCCAGCTTCTGTTTATTTCTATTTAAGTGCACCTTGATGTTAACGTTCTGTTTCTCATGGAAGTGTATCGAAAAGTTAAGAATTTAAAATCTCAAAGCCATTTAATGAGCAAGTGTGGAATACTGATGCCACGGTTGTATTTTAGAGTTTAAAAGAACAATCAAAGTTAAACAATCTGATATTGATAAAACTCGATGAACCATGAACTACGGGCTTAAACTCACAAAGTTTTTATAGGACGTGAAACACAACACCAACCTATATGGCTCAAACTATGCATTTTTGTCCCTCTACCTCCAGGCAATTACACAGAAAAACAAAGTACCTTAGTGACGAGAGCAGAGTAGCTCATGGCAGGGGACAGGCCGATTCCCAGCCGCTGGAGGTAGCAGTAGACAATGTGTGGCTTGGCGATGAGGCTGAAAGTGCACAAATAGCCCAAACAGATTCCAGCCAGGATGATGTAGCAGAGCTCACGACTGGATGATTTGACCACAGGAGTGTCCCAAAATCTACAGACGGAGCCAACATTTAGATTCACAAAACTGCTAAGACATACCTGGAGCTGTAAATACATAGCGTCAAACACATCAAGCTAGCCATACAAAGCAATGTGCATATAACAATTACGAATCAAATCGTGAAAAAATATATAGATCTATAACAATAAACAATGTTATGTTAATGCTATTGCCAGACTGTGTTAAGCTTAAACCATGATTTTAGACGTATATGCAAGCGTCTTGTAAAGGCATAGGCGATAATTACTTGATAAAGACAGAAGTAACAAAAAGAGTCGCCATGAGGCCCAGACAGGAGAAGACGACTGCAGCGATTGGCTCTGGATCCCCCCAACGCACATACTGCACTGGGATTGGCTCACAACCTGAAGGGCAGAGAGATCATTGGGAGTGAGAAAACAAGACAGGGAGGCAAATTTAGATGTGTGTGCAGTCAAAGGATGTGTATTCGGATACTTAAATTGAATGCATGTAGCAAAAAATGCTCATTCACGATGCACCATTTACTGTGAGCAAACACAGTTTAGCTGCTGTGTGTGAAATCTTCAGTCTTGGAGAGTCAAATTTGTTGTGAAACATTAAAGGGATCTGTAAGGGGGGAAAATGTGGGATCCGAACGATTTATGTGTTTTTCCAAACTACAGTGGAACTGAAATACTGTAGGAGACAATAAGTGTTTACAAATCAGCACAAACAGGATTTCAAACCGTTCTTCTAGACTTTGGAGTTAAGAATTCTGGCCTCAGCCTAATCCTTTATTCTGGCAGGGATCTAAAGTCTCTCAGTGTGTGTACGGTTACGTGTATTTGTGTCGGTTTCTGTGCAGCAGTGTGTCTTAGTCTGCCAGTTTGCTGCTCTGTGTGTCTGTGGTGTGTAAGATGTAAGGAGAGGGGGGGGATTTGTGGCTTCACCATCAGTGTGTGACCCAGATTTTGATGGCTCTTCTGGCCTGTTTGGAAATCATGTATTCGTGAGTAACAGAGACACAAACAAAGTGTGTGTACCAGTGAGGTCATCCGTTGGCCAGGAGCCCAGGGTGCAAGCCTGACAAGTGTACTCGTCAAACACGAACTCATTCTCCTTGCAGGGAGTGCAGGTCCAGCAGCAGCTCACCTCTCCTTTACGGATCACCTGGAGACATGTGCGCACACACACACAGCGGTATGAAAGGGCGGGAAAGGTCTCAAAGCTCCAATGACACTTTTCTGTACCTAATCTTACACTGTGACCCTGTGATTGTTCATCAGGGGATCAGAAGAAGAAAAAAAAAGTGCAGAATGTCATTGAGTCTCATTATTAACTAAAAAAAAACTCATTAACAAAAAACTCATTATTAACAAGAATCTCTTTGACTTAGCAACTAGGAGATCAGTGTAGAAGTATGGCTTGTATAACAGGAACTGAAGAAAGTGGAAAAATGGTGGGCCGGTGGTTAGTCACATTAAAGTACTTAAGTACAAACCTGAGGTACTTGTACTTGACCTGAGTGTTAATTGCATATTACTTTCTACTTATGCTCACTGCATTTATTTTGCAGACACTGCTATAAGATGAATATTTGGATTTTAAAAGCCTATAATGAGCATAATAAGAAATTATACATTGTTATACTGTAAATTAAGTGGCTAAAATCAGCTCCATCTTGATCCACTGCAACATTAAAAGGCTGTTTATACATTAATGTATCCATGCTAATTGTCAAATATATACAATACAAGCCTGAATGAACACCTGAAACCCGACACCTGGAAATTTTGCTGGTAAAACTTGAATAAATTTCAATGCAGGACTTTTATTTGTAAGGGAATATTTTTATAGACAGGTATTGCTATTTTTATTTAAGCAAATAATGTGGATATTTTCCTCCCTACTGTTTGAAGTCTGTTTTTAAATTCTGTCACAGTTAGCTAGGATCAGGCCTCATGGATGGGTGAAAATGGGTTCAGGTGGAGAGAGCAGAAAAGAGAGCTGCTCGAGAATATATGAGGCACTTGTTTCAAAGGAATACAATGTCAATATGATGCTGTAGGGAGCAGGGGGTGACTCCTAGCTGTTCTCATGGAGAGTTAAAGAGAATAAAGTGGAGGCACTGACAAGGTCAGAATGGTTCAGAGAGAGCCACAGCTCAGAACGTGGGCCGCGATGAATAAACTTGTACATATTCTCAAAACCGTGCATGAGACTGGAGCTTTGAATTCCCTACAAGGTGCCACATTATAATGTGTCAGAGTTGACTGTTTAGGAGGGCTTTAGACGCTGGGATGATGCAGAAAAAGGGAGAGTGTGGATGGGCTGGAGGGAGTTAGAGAAGCCCAGATGGGAGATGAGTGCAGCCTGAACAAAGAGCTGTGCTGAATCCTCCGGTGGCGTAGTCGAGGATGTGATTGGACTGGTTTTTGAAGATTGTAAACCTGTGGGATCAATTTATGGTTGCTGTGTGGGTCGTGCTTGACAGCTTTGTTCAAAAAAAAAAAAAAAAACTCTGACAAGTTCTCTGGTTTATAGAGAAGCATGAATGTATGAAGCCAAGTCTTCTAGAGATCATCACGATGGAAACACTTGCAAATATTAACACAATGCACAACTCAGTACTGTGCCGATTATTATAGTCTGTAGACGTTGATATATGCCCTGCTCCCATATGTTAATAAAATGGTAGGTGCACCACAACCACTGTAGCTTATTGATTTTAAAACCCATCTTGCCTCAACAATTTAAAACTTGTGCATTGGTACTTACCTTGATTTGTGCCTTCTTGCAGGGCTCAGAACAGACTGATTGGATGATTTCACTGTCGTTACTCCAGATTTCCTCATCGTTCATCTTCAGGCCAGTTTGATCCCAGCTTCCCACATGGATGTAAGAATATTCATCCTCGCCTATGTGCTTGAAGTTCATGATTTCATACCTGAGGCACATATACAGTACGCGCACACATTTAAAACTGATCTCTGCTGTCTTCCCTCATTCCTTCCTTTCTTCCTTTTTCCATAATAATCCTTACCTGCCAGGTGAGTCTCCATTCTGGTCAAAGTGGATGACTTCCCCCGATACACCGGTAAAGTTGGTTCTCATCAGGAATTCCAGCAGCTGGCGGCCATCGATGGGCCGCATGGATTCACACAAACCCTGGTGAAGAGGAAAAGCTGTTAATACCATCAAGCCCAATGGGAAAGTATTCAATGCACACTGTTCACATCAACATACCTTATATCCTGGACAAAGGGATTCCTGCATGGCATGAAGGCCATAAGCCATGGAGTAAATGGCATTTATGACGAATCCCATCTTGGTGTCTTGGGCGTATTGGTGGCGCAGAGACTCTCTCCCTGTGGAGAACAGAAACCTGCTCATAAGGAGAACCCCCATTATTGTAATCAACTTCTTCAGGATGTGATTGCAGACTAGCTTCTAAGTAAGTGTATGGACATTGATGTTTGTGTTGGACTAACAGGTGCAAGTGCGGTTGTATGTGGCGCTCTCCTGCGGATGTCCCCTCAACCGACACTGGAAGCGGTGCTGCCAGAACTCGGGGAACCAGGGGTTTCTCAGGTTGGCATCAGGCTTCAGGTTCAGGTAATAATCATCGAACCAGGTCACGTACGCTGACTTCAGCTTTATAGTGATGCCACCTGCTGCTTCCTTCTGGTAGCCGTTAGTCACATCGTACCTGTCAGCCCAGCCGTCACTAGACAGGACGAAGAGAAAGGTACAACAGGAGTAATTAGACCTTTGTTTTGGTTCTCTTTTTTTTTCTTTTTTAATTTTGTTGACATATAGATTTGTTTTGCTTCAAAGTTGTTGGTTAAATCAGCATTTTATTTTCAGGGTGTGTTGATGTATGTGCAGGCATATGTGCAAGAACATTTTTTTAGGGAGACTATTTTCTAATTCTTTTCCAGAAACTGTTCAGCATTTATGGTACATTGTGCACCAGTTTTAGCATTTTGGTAACAACTGCTCAATATTGCAACCATGTGAGGATTTGACTGTTTAGACAGGAATGTCACCTCAGCAAGAGTTGCGGAAAACTTCCCGTCGTCTGTAAGGAACAACTGGTAAACCTGACATAGTGCCAGAGAAACAAGTGAAAAAATAGCACACTATAAATGATAAAGCAGACTTCTCTTTAAGCAAATGTCCTCATATTTAACACTAAAGAATATTAAAATATTCACAACATAGTTCAGCTCCAGCAGGTAAGGTAATGATGAGCTTCTTGATCACACATTAGCAGACTGTGGGACATTAACAAGATAAGTGAGCCTGGAAATGTTGCATGAAGATCAGTGGTGCAGAACCCAATGCTTATGCTCTGGGGTTCCACACTTAGCCTTGAACTTAGTCCACAATTACAGCCAAAGTGGTTTGAGTTACCCTTTTGAAACCACTTTCCCCATCAAACTTAAAGTGCTTTCAAGAGGATAAAAGGCTGGCTGGCATCTTGAAATAGACCAAGTTAGCAGCCCGGGGAGCAAATGTTACAGTAAAACTAGGGCGGAATATTAATTGATTTTAAATCAGTATTGCGATTTTGAACAAAACAAATTGTAAAAACATCTACATTTTAATGGTTATACATTGCGGAGAGCTTCTGACTGAGGGTTTAAACTGCAGTGCCAATGGTTTTACAAATCCACGCCATCCTCCTTGTGTGACAGTCACGCTTTTGATAGCATGTGGTAGTGCCTCGTCACATTTTAAATCAAGTGAACAGTGAATTTTAAGCTTCACTTTAGCCGCAATATCTGTTAAAAAAGCTGCAATGAAATATTTTCCTAAAAAATTGTTGGACCACTAGTAAAAGCCCAGCATTAGCAGCTAATATATGATAATAGATGTAAAAAAAAAAACAGAAACAAAAACACTTTGTGGCAAAATATTTCAGAAGATGTTAACTCAGTATAAGGTACAACTGCTTAATGAATGCAGTGTGTGTGATTTTGTGAAGAAAAATAACACTCATTCCACGATGGCAGCGAATGCATTAATGCGGCCTGCTCTGAAAAGCTGTAGTTGGTGTTTGCGATCACATTTTGGACCACAGTTGCACAGGCTGATAGAGACAGGTGGTGCCTCGCAAAATGAGCCTAATGACTGAATAGGAATGAGAATAAAGTATTTACCATGGTGACTCAGAAGTGCTAAGACAAGACTCACTGAGAAATTACAAGTATTTGCTCATGCATTCAAGTTGAAGAATTGTGAAGTGAAACTCTTCAATTGTTTTTTTTGTTTTCTTTCTTATGTGTTTTGGCAATGTTCTTCAATTGCGTTTATGTGCAAAGATAACGTCTTTCATTGATTAAAGGTTGATGGTGTTGGGAGGACTTGGTTAGGTCGTATAGAAGGTCGTGGTGTGTCTTTTTATTTTTCAACATGTTTTTTGTGTTTGTGCTTTTATTAATTAGATCTCTGCAATCTTATCTGTCAACTCCACTGAGAGACATGCAGTGAAGAGCGCTTTGATTTATTCAATCAGCATTGATAGAAGCCCTGCATTGTAGAAACATGCTGTACCCAATCTGTTAATGTTTTAATATTGACAGTCAGTGCATATATTGATTTAGAACTTGGAAATGTTACATGAATTATTAATTAGTGTTTCCTTCTGTCTGGTAAAACGCCTCCTGACTACAATTACAAAAGATACCTAATGCTGAATAAACCTTAAACACCAGACAAACACCACCAGACTACAGCGTCTACAGACACATCTGATATGCTGTTTATTCAAAAACACTGTGGGCTTGGACTCAATAAGCGATCTCATCCTTCTATTATTATCTCTCCCTCTGGATGCTTGTCTACAATCAACAAAGTCAAAAGGTTGATTACACCTCCACACATGTGCATACATGTAAAAAAGAAATGCACACCTCACTGGCACAAAGAAATGCACTCCCCTCTGTCTAACTGACAAAAAAAAAAAAATGCCAAAGAAGTCATCTCTGAAAACTTCACTAACTGAGCTGGAGTTATACAACACTAGTGTGGGTGTATATTTATTTTTTTCTTTTTTTTTATGATGCCTGGTTCTCTGGGTGAGGTAGGAGATCATTTCATAACACATCCTTAGAGAAGCGAGCACAGAAATGGTACACTGGCATAAAAAAGGCAGGAATGGAAATGAAAAGCATGGAGGGCTTTGACTCTGGATAGTTTGAATCACTCTTGAACGAGAGCTCTGAAACCCACACATCGACCTGGGAGGGCAATGTGCTGTGTGCAGCATGTTGCTACACCACCTACAATCCTGAAGACACACACCAGCATGCATGCGTGTGCTTGCTCACACACACACACACACAAACACATTGTGCTCTCATTTCACCTTTATACAGCACAATACTGGTCAACTTTTGTAGCTGATCGTTTCTGAGTGAACACTTTGGAACACTGCAGTGATACAGACTTGAGGCCAGAAACATGTGCAATTCTAAAATGAAAACTTACCAAGACAAGAAAAAAAAATGGCACACACCAACAGCCAAAAAAAAATACTATAAATAAAAAATACTCTCTCACAACCCTGGCAACCTCCGTTGTTGTGTTTCCACCATGTGCGCCAATGAACACCAATAGCAGTATTTGCAGGTGGGAAGCCAGTGAAGGATCATGTTGCTCTACTGACACCAGCACTGTCAAGAGGCTGGTTGGAGTAGTTGTATGAAGGGAATGCCATAGTGGTAGTGATTCGCAATCCATCGGACAGATTGGGATATTTCATTCAAACCAAAACTCCCAACCTTGTGGTGGCACGAGAAGAACAGACATGGGATTACATTGTCAATGGGGAGTCATAATGTCTGAGCATTATTTTATGGCAATCCATCCAATCGTTGTTGACATTCTTCAGTCTGGTCCAAAGTGATGGATCTGTGGAAGACTGTCATTGCATTTTGTAGAGCCACATGATGAATATGCTAAAAATAGGGACGGACTGTATCTGTGTTTGTCCTATATAAATGAGTTAGGAGCATCTTAATTTTATAATGTCCTTATAACATTTGCAAGAACATTCATTTTCCATTGATTTTTATGTACACAAGTTGAGGCTTGACTGTGGTTTGGATGTAGCTGTTCAAAATAGGTTTCAGCAGTGCTGGCAACACAACATAACAAAACAAACATACAAACAAACAAAAATCAATCATCTACTCCTCCGGTTTCTCCCCAGCCATAAATGAAATCTAAGCACGCACTGCTCACATACACAAACCCGGTGACAAATATTTCAGGCTGACATGAAAATGACTATTCCCGCAGGTAATTAACTAGAAAAAAATAGAAAAGGTGGTAAAACTAACACGGTGAGGTTAAAAACCTGCCATTCAAGACAGACAGCACAGTGAAAATAGACGCAGTAACGCATGCTCATGTATGACAAATATATGTGCATCAGATGGGGATGAATTTGTCGCCTCAACAGTACATCCCAGACTTAATTACCCTCAGAACAGAAAGAACAAACAAACAAATTAACCACAAATCTTCGATAATGAGCAGACGGCAACGGCGCAGCTACCTGGAAGCTCTGTGTGATAATATAGATGAGAGAGCATGGTGTTTTTGCGATATGTAGTTCAAGGTTATTTTATGTTTCCTGCCGTCACATTTGAGCGACAGCCTACATATGTGGCTCCTAATGAGGAAAGGCATTTATAGAACACCAGGGACGAGAGTGAGCCAGAGAGCTAAACCTTAAAATAAAACATGTTATTCTCGGAGAGAGCGAAACCTCCTGCTAAATCAACCCCCTCTTTCTTGCTTGTTTTTTCCCCTTGCGATGTTAATTGGATACTTTCTTTCCCGTGCCGTTTGCCCAGTCTTCAACAGTTTCTCTATTTAAAATTATCCACAAAGACCCATGCTTAATATGCAATTGGAGAGGCAACATTTCTATAAAAAAAATTTCAGAAAGTGTCATTTTTTACACATTTCTCCCACCGTGTTGTGCTGTGTGGCTGCCAGCGATACCTCATTTTCTTGAGTTGTTGTTTACTGTTCTGACAGTGACAAGAACAATAGGCTGTTCTCCACTGCAGGAACTTTAGGGCCATTTAATGGCAGCCCAAACCACCGTGCATGTTCAAATTGAAAGAACCGCCTCTGTAAAACCTCTTTCAGGGTGATTTACGGGAAAAACAAGTACCTACTTGTACCAGTCGTAACTTCCGAGCCGCAATGACAAATATGCTATGCAGGGCTTTGAAACTCGGAGAGCAAAACGATCACCATTTTTTGACGCTCTCGATTTCCTCATGGAGTAGCTGTCTCCTTCTTTCTAGCATCATCATTTGCAATGTAAAATTCACCACATATGCTATCATAACAAACTGTCCATTGTTTTACTCCCTACCTGATTAGAAGACTGGAATATGATCCAGTAACTATGTACTGTTTGTCGTTGTTTGGATGTTTTGTGCCAAGTTACTACAATGGAGATGAGCGTAATCCATCCATTATCTATACACCGCTTAATCCTCACTAGGGTCGTGGGGGCTGGAGCCTATCCCAGTCAATTCAGGGCGAAGGCAGGGGACACCCTGGAAAGGTCGCCAGTCTATCACAGCGCTACACATCGAGACACACAAGCACACTCACATTCACACCTACAGACAATTTACAATTACCAGTTAATCTCAACATGTTTTTGGACTGTGTGAGAGGAAGCCGGAGAACCTGGAGAGAACCCACGCTGCACAGGGAGAACATGTAAACTCCATCCCAGGCGTCCTAACTGGGACGCAAGCCAGGGATCTTCTAGCCGCAAGGCGACAGTGCTACCTACCGAGCCACCGTAGTTTATGGTTCTATTACTGTATTTCTCTATATGGACCCTTTGACTGCATCAATATAGGCTTAAGCTGTGTAAAATCTAGTAGAACTGATTTGAAGATAAACAAAAATCTGCATTGTGATTTCCTCTTTAAAGTCTATGGCATAGTGTCACTATCAATACCAAAAAAAAAGTATTACAAATACCTTGAATTTCCAAAGTCACCATGAAGCTGATGAATGCAATGAAGATGATAACAGGGATGATGATGATGAGAGGATAAAGATGGTCCCGATGACCACAAACACATCTTGTCTGATGATGCTGAACATCTGAACGAAGTCTGGATTAGAAGGTGATGCACAAGACTGTGAAACTTAAAGCCCAAAACGTCACTCAAGAAATGTACTCAAAAATTGGACATACCAGAATTTACAACTCACCTTCCCACGAGCACGAACTCTCCCACCAGGCCCTGCCGTCTCATGGCCATCAGTATGCCTCGGACTGTCATGCCCTCACAGAAGCAAGCCACCACTCTGGCTTTGGGCAGATGGCCTCGTAGTTTCTGCAGCAGCTTGTCAAAGTTCTGCTCACCCGCGTTGCTGTATATCTTATCAGAGTGGGCGATGCAGATCCCCTCCTTTGCCGCCATGTCTTTAAATGCCTCCATACCGCTCTCGCCATAATTACCTACGGCAGGAACCACATGAATGGACTTGTTGTTTTCATTTACACACAGTGCTGCACACACAAAACGTGGGGTCTTCTACCTAATTAAAGCCAACAAACTGAGCAAATTACTGTGACAAAATCCTTTGACTCACCAGGACCCCTTAACAAAGCCCTTTGGATAGTCGGCTCTTGCATGATAATTTAAAATTCACCACTTGCCTGTTAAGTATACTTTGTTCACATTGCTGTGCAGCCATTTTTCATTGTGCTGCTTCTCACACATTCACTTCTCAGCACATACGCTCTTGTGCGCTGATTCACACACAGATGTATGCTTGCATTATGTGTAAACAAATACACTAGTGTAATGCTGGACCAGCAATTGAGAAACGAGTATGTTTTGTCCCTATTATGGGAATCATGAGGGGTTAGACTTTGCTGTTTTTGCTAGAAATGAGGTCACCTAGTTTCTGTTGCTTTGAAAGTGTACTCCCACTCTGGGCATGACACTGTTGGAGGCATCTCGTTTCATTACTACATGTGAGTTTTACTCACATATGTGGCATGCCTCCATCAGTGGTAACATAATTTTTAATTTTTTAAACTGCGGTTTCACCTTGATTCACTTCTCTGATATCGCTGCTGTTTCTGTTGCCATTTTAATTATTTCACCCTTTTTAATATTTCTTTTTAACTTTTCAAGTAGCCTTTTCACCTTCTATGGAGTCAGCGCTGTAGCAATGAATACATTTTATTAATTTAAAATGTAAACGCAGCTGAAAATAGGCTGAACAGGACACTGTTTACCCCAACTTTTGCGTCGACGGTAAATATGGAACGGCACTTGTGTCGTCCTTAAAGATCTGCACCATTTTGAAACAGTGTTTATTTGTAGCAGCTGATAAGGTTGATAGAATTTACTAGGTCATATCGCTTATCATCAGTTTATGCAAATGCCATGCAGGGTAACAAGAATATGCATGTACATTACATTTCTTAGAGTTAATAGAGATTAAAAAAAACCCAAACCCAGAGCTGTGAAATCTTTTAAAAATTAACTAAATGTTGTATAATTTTGCACATGCATCACAAATATGTACAAGACTGTCTAGGTGACATTAGATTAAACAAATCAATATTTATAGTATATTTGCATTTGCAGAATTACGAATTTTGTATTTAACTTTTATACTAATTTATGTAAATCTTGAGAAATCATTCAATGCATACTCTTCAATTCAATGATGTCGCATTGCAGTTAAAACTAGCAACAACAGTACAAAGCAAAAAATATCAAGTAACAAACATCTTTCTACTGTAACAAATACAGTAGAAAGATGGAGCACAACATAAACATTGAAACAAAAGGCTTTTCCTAATAGAAGCTCCCTATCGCATTAGTTTTTATCCTCAAAAAGAACATTTGGAATGCAACAGACCTTATTTTAAATCCTCCTCCACCACAGCTTTGTATTTTTATGGAAAATAAAAACTGGAACAATCCGGTCAAGATTTAGCTCTTATTCTCATCAAGAGATTTAGATTTATGGATTTATGTCATAAAAATATGGCCTCAAGCCACTGAGAGGTTAAAAAAGAAGCATGAGATTTGTGAGCACTGTATAGAATATTGAGAATGACATATTGGCAATGCATTACTTGGTTCTGAATATGTAGGATAAGTTATTCGGGAACTGGATCCTTTGAAGTTGTGATAACCTTGTGCATTAATATTAATATAAAATCAACTGTGTATTTCTGTATAGCAGTCATGAGTCACATTGCCCACAAAGGAGGGCTAAAAAATAAAGTAATAAAACCGAAAAGACCCAGAGAGTTCAAAGCTCATGGCAGACACTCCTTGGGAAGCTTTGTTAATGATGAACAGAATCGCGAGAAATATATAATAAGAGCTGAAATCATCAATTTGAGATTTGTGCGGCAGCTGTGATGGCCTTCACTGAAGTTCTACAGTGGAGTGACTTTAATAATCAGAGCGCAGAAGGAAAAACTTCAGAGGCTAGTCACCCTCAGAATGATCTACACTCACCAACCACTTTATTAGTGTGACATCTAATGCAATCCAATACATATATTCTACTTTTATAATGCTTCTCCAATTTCAGTTTTTGTTGGTGTTGTCAAAAAGGTGATGATTCTGCATTCTGTTTATTATCGGAAGTCATGGAGGGTTGGTGATGGTGGTGGTGCACTGGATTGCATTACATCTAAGTGTTTTTAATATATTGTCCACCGCTATTAATATACATGAGGAGGGCAAACTATTACCAACAATGTAATGCAGTCCAATACATCACCACTATGAGCTCGATGATAAACATAAAGCAGAATCATCATCTTTTTGAAAACGTCAACAAAAAAACTGTAGAAGTTTGGTAAAAGTAGAATTTATGGCAGAGCTCTTGTGTTGGATTGCATTAGACTTCACAGTTGGATCTAATAAACAGGCTGGTGAATGTGTGTGACTGGGCTGAGCTTCCTCTGACTTGATAAGTAAAGCAAAAGTGTAACGCTCCTAGTTTCTCTTATTAAAACTAAGAACTGAAACTAAGACCTCAGTAAGACCCTGCACACAGTAATGACGATACAAGTGTTTCTCCATTTCTGACCGAATGACAAAAAGAAGAAGCTTAACGAAGACAAACAGTACTCTTACACTATTGTACACAACTACAATAGGTTGCACAACAGATAAACCAGAAACACTGTGTAAATATAAATATGCTGCTTAATCCATGTGCAAACATGACCAGAGGAGGAAGAGGTGAAAGACGAAAGACACAATAAGAAACTACGACGATGAGAAACGTAAAACACTAACACACACACACACACACACACACACACACGCACACACACAGTCTTACCCTCTGTGTGTATTGCGGACACGTAGCTCCAGTTGTATCTCTTGACAATGTCCACCATGGCTCTGGCCTGTTGCATATCTGATGGTACCACTCTCATGAAATATTTATACAGGCTCTGTTGAAAGGGATTTACAAGTTTTTCAAGTCTGTCTTTATACTTAGCATGTTTTCATGTAACAGCCTGTCTACAGATTTGCATATTCCTCCGTTAAAACCCTTAAACCAAACTCCATCACTGACCACTCAGTGACTCCCAGCTGATATTTAGGATGAGAAGACTCTAATCCTAACTGAGCCGTAGCATTTTAGAGCTGTGTGTGTGCTTCGGACATCACTGATTTTTAAGGAATTTCTGTTTTTTTTCTGCATTATTGACATTTTGTCATGTTTGTATTCATTTAAAAAATTTTGCAACCTTGTAAGTCAGTGTGAAGGTTTGACGTTTGAAGATATCTCAGATTTAGTTACTCCTGTTAACTAATCTTACCTTGTCACTGAGGTCCATGCTGGTGGCTGAGTATGCAATCTGCGGGATGTTGAAGAGCTGGAGGAGATTTTGCACCTGGATGGCCACAGAGCTGGATCCCGGTCCGATCAGTCCCACTATGGGCTTCTTCCCCTGAAGAAGCAAGCTTCCTCCTTCTGCATTACATCTGCCCTGGCTCTCCTCCTCTTCGTTGGACACCAGCGTGTCCCGAATGAACTCAATACTTTGTTCCAGTGCCACTGCAGAGTGCCAGCACGAGTCCCTGGTGGAGAAAGACGGAGTTCCCAACCACAATGTTTTGGCCACAGTTAGAGGGATACAAGGTTGAGGGGAGCACATCCTGTGCTTCATGCTTTTTGATGAAGTTCAGCCAAAGCTAATATGAGGTTTCTGCAGTCTGAATCAGACAAGTCAAGCTTGTGTCTCCCAAAGGCTTTTAGTACAAATTTCACGCTGTATTTTCTTGGTTTGTTGCTATCTTCAGAGTGTCTATTTGGCATGAAGCACCGACTGTAGATTTTGTCTCACACTTCAAACCACAAGCGGTCAGAGGGGATCACTTCATTGTCATTATATAGCGACAACCAGTAATCAGTCCTTTTACTGTACATGTACGGCTTTTACTTTAAAAAATCCAAAACTATCATTAGATGTTTTTAACGCTGTGTCTTCAATCAGTCATCATCTACTCAGAAGTGAGTTCTCATACGGCCTCATTCCACTTGTCTCCCCTCGAAATATTCTCTCCCCTGCTGCCTAAACATTTCTCCTATTTACTTCCAGATCCTATACTAATTTAAATTGACACAAGTGAAGTTTACATGTCCAGATCTATATTTATCTGCTTTTATTGCACTTCATTTGGGTGTACATTACAAAAATCCTTGTCTATACAGAATATTGGATCCAAATTTTAAAAAACAGCTTCAGCACAGTTTTGCTTTATTTACCTTCCTGTTGTCTGATTTAACAACAATCCGAATGTCTGCAATCACAGCCTTCTTCTGATGTCGGTTGAATGGTTGGAAAATCAACGCAAATACAGTGACATGAAGACATGCTGGACGTCGCCTAAATGAGCTGTCTTTAACTTTTAAGTCCATGTTGTAAAAAGCAGATTTCAAAAGAAGACTGTGTACCTGACTAGTGTCAAACAGCTTGGCTAAACACAAACAGCTGATTGTGCGATTCTCGCCCATCTGAAATCCTTGATATGTGAGGAATACAAGGAATTTTAGTATTATTCCAAACCTGCAGATATTATCCCACCATGAGCTACATATTCAACAACTTCAAGAAGGTGTGTAATTTGTGCTTTGCAGTTTTGAAGACAAGATTAATGAGCCTCTATTGGTAATGTGGCTCTTTCTTTGAATCAAAATTCTTCATTGTGTGGGCACACGATCCACTCACTGTACAAAGATCACCAACAATTTAGAGCTAATAACTGAAAAAAAAGTTTCGTTATTGATTGACTGACCTGATCTCGCAGCCCAGGGTGATGTTAGGAAGGATGGTGGGGTCTGCGTTAATCCGATCCAGAGTGTGCATCATGGCCTCCACCCTCTGGATCCCGTACTGCTCCCGCACTGCACCACACTTTCGCTCATGCACCTGAACAACACAATTTTAGATAGTTAAAATTCATTACATGCATAGACGGATTACATCTGCGCATCAAAACAGATGCAACGTGTACCTTGTCTGCAGGTGGTTGGTGGTGGACAGAGAACAGAGCTCCTATGATGATATCACCAGGAATATGTGCCAAGACCCTTCTCTCATTGTTCTGGCCGTTGACCCCAACCTGGTCTCTCAAGCATCCCAGTAAGACAGCCACTGCTAACAACCTCAGCCTTCTTCCCATCACTGTGGTCCTCCTTACACCTTCTGCCATCCTGGGTCCTCGTGGAGCTGAGGTTCAGATCAGTGAGCTGTCTTTGGCATGGTGCTTGTAGTGCCAAGGGCAGGGGTTAGGTTCCTGGAGAAAAGGTTATTGGCAAGTAGGTAAAAAAAAAAAAAAAAAAGGAGAAAAAAACAGGCGTATGTTTGCTTGTTTTTTATTTTAAACTTTCACTTTTTGCAATCGACTTGCTGCCCGTGGTACTAAAATGATCACCGCATCATGCAACTTCGGCAAAAACTGACATCCAGGCTGACGGTCCAGTGAAGCGCACAAAAAACCTTCTAATCTCTCCTGTATTTAAGACTTCATTCATCAGTGTGCGCTCCCTGCAGGCAAACTAAAAGCCAACTTTAGCCTACCTTTGCTCTGCCAGCTGCCATGCAGGTGTCATTCCTTTCGAGATCGTTTCCATCGCCGAAGACCAATAAGAAAAGCGCTTCTTTTTTTTTTTCCTCCTTTCTTTTTCTCTCCTCTTCAGCTCTAGTCTGGCGCCTGGCTACAGCAAACTGCAAATAGCAGCAGATAATACAGCCCGTTATTGGAACATGTTTGACTTACTGACGCACACGACAGGTCCCCCCCCCTCCCCTCCTTCTGCTCTTCCTCCTCCTCCTCCTCTTCTTCCTCCTCCTCCTCCTCCAAAACAGTGGAAAGCATGGAGCATCATCAGCAGCTAAATGGGTACAACTGTGGAAAGCTCCGAGAGGCGAGAGAAAGGCACCAAATGTGTTGGCAAGCAAATAAGAGGCTTCAGATCCGAAGTGTGCACAATTATTATTATTAATCACCTCTAATCTAGGGCGTAAAAGTCTATAATATATCTATCTTCAACCTCCTACCAGTAATGTCTGATTCCCATTTGAAATTTGAACATTTAACATCCACTTCTTAGCACATCTATTGAACAAAAAGCCTCATGTCTGTCACACAATAATAAAGACAAAGCAGTGACACACTCCATGTTTGGTTTGGTTTGACTGGTTTGACCCTCCTGCGCATCAGGTCAAATCGACCTTCATTCACAGTCTGACATCTCAAAGAAAGAAAAAAAAACCCTTATACCTATGCAACCTGATGCTTTTTATTAAATTTGTGTGTTCAAGGAGACATGGTTGGAAAAAAAAGATTTTGTCCACAGCAGAAAAGCAGAAAAATTTCATGCACTTCAACTGCAACTCTTCCTCCCTCTCTCTCTCTCTCTTTTTCTTGCCTGAGGTCAGAATGACTCCAAACATAATCTGAGGTCTGATTTGTCTAATATAAAAGTGCACGTCGCTCCTTTGCTGTGGTGCATCTCTTTCAAGATTGTAAGAGAGCCAATCCTTGAATCATCTAAAAACATTCAGTGTTACCATGCAAACCAGTGCTGTTTGGTGCAAGTTGCTCAGGTGAAAGTGAGAAGTGATCTGAGAAATATAAATTATAAAAAAGGCGAGAAACAAATTAGTTTGCGCTTGTTGTGTAATGGGAGCTGTCAAGGCCATTTATACCCCAAATGCAAGTCTGTAATTAAATTAGAATGCGTTGCTTTGTGATGATGGGCTTCATCTGCGGCGGAAGGAGAGAAAAAAGCACCACAATCAACATGAAATTACAGCATAAAGATGACAGTGAGTGAAATACGCAGCCTGTTGATTTGATACCATAGAATTTAGCATGTGGACGATCGGGTTAGGAAATGTAGCTGGCACATCAGTAGTTTGGTTTCGGCTGATCAAGTGTAGCATCATGATTTAACTTAGAGAGGGAAGAAACCAGAAAAGACACTGTTGGATGAAATGAACCCATCTATGACAGCGGAGGAAGTCACAGTGACTCCATTACATTTCAGTTTTATCAGAGATTTGTTCCTATTCCACAATGTGCAGCTGAACCCAGTGGTTTCTGGTGAAAAAGGCTTTCAGTCTCACAGCTAAATAAAATCAATAAGAGCAGAGTGAGAATGTGTAATGTGTATGCTTGTATAGGGTGCTAGCTTATGCAACAACAAAAATCTTTTCAGAGCAGCCTATGTTTGGAAAATGGAAGTCTGGTGGAGACTCATTAGTAGGTGTCAAATGAGTGAATTTGTAAATACAGAATTGCAGTTTGTTAGTTGCCTGGGGAGACAGAGAAAGAGAAGACAGGCCCAGTGAGCCTTATGATATTTGTAAAAGCTGCATGGCTCCCTCTGGTGGGGAAACATTTGCTGTCATGGGCTACTGGGAAATGTTCCTGCCCCGTGAAGATCACATGCAGACATTCTGATAATCACACCAAAAAGGTCAGGGTGCACAGTGGTTGCCCTCTTGAGTAAAGACAGCCATGTGAGACGGCAGCAGTGTGAATGAAGAAAAGAAAAAGGTTGTTTCCAAGAATGCATAAGAAAGCATTGCCTGAGGTAATGCCTCGCTCATCAGCTGGTCCTCAGTAAAGCCTTTGTTTTAAGTCTCTGTTAGAGTTTTAACAGTAGGTGGTGACATTTGATGATGATATTTAGTATCATATGACCACAAAGTTTCATGCAAAAAGAAAAAAAACCCACAGATGTGGTTTTTCAAAAGAATATTTTGTTACTTACTAAATAAAAAAAAAAACAATGGAATTTTAAAAAGAGAGTTTTAGTTTCTGATGTGTAGAAAACTGGTTTTTATATGCACATTTTATTAAAAGAAATTGAAAATGTCAAAATTCTGACATTCTGACACACAAGATAGACTGTAAATATGTCAGCAGCTTGAAGTTGAATAGTTAACCTTATTCAGGACTTTTGGGGTCTTTTGGATCAAAAGCCATTTGGTTTAGCTGACAGGTATTGTTTTTCTTTTATTATTATTATTTTTGAATATTTTTTTTTAATATTTAAAGAGGGATGTTTGTCAAACCTTCTACATATTGCAACATGAAAGTCCTGAATAGGGTTAATCTGTGTGTGACCACTAGTGATTATGTATGTATGTATGTATGTATGTATGTATGTATGTATGCATTGTTTACATAGACCTACACGTGTAGATTTTTGTTTCCTTTTTATGTTCATGTCTGTTTCTCTCTGTGGTCCCAGTACTGTCACAGTGATTTTCATACCATAATTGTAAGAAAAACTGTTTTCTTTACTTGGTGTGTGTGTGTGCATGTGGACAAAGATCATGAGTTACTCGCTCATTACGTGGAAATCACCGTGAAATCAATGTAACTCCAAAATATGGGCTTAATCTGCAGTACATTGTGGTCCTTAATTCCTGTCCTTAAGGGGCCTTTGGGTAACTTGGGTTATTGTGTCATATTTTGGGCTCTATTATGATATGATTATGTGGCGTAAATGTCTATATTAAACTTTCAGTGCCCCATTAAGCTCCATAAATACTACCAATCCTATTTAATAAATACATTTACAGTATTTTTTTCCTGTAAGGAGTCTGGCTACATTCTTGGAATGTGGGCTATTCTTTCAGGGTAATTGCCCCCCTTCATGATGTGAGCTTAAGTAGGAGGTTATGCAGCATGTGACTGCCACAGTAAAGGGGGGTGGTTGGGAGTGTGTGTGAAGAATTTTCAGCTGAGACTTTATCACTTCCACTTTCCCACTTTTTTTTTTTGTGGTTCATTTCACGGTGGCTGCAGTGAAACCTTGCTGTGATGAGGCCATTGGCAATATTTAGTTTCTTCTTGTGTTTCGTACCCAGCTATCAGCAGTTCCCTCGTCTGTGCGCAACCCAGGAGGCCCTGCTCACCAAGGAGTGCTGCCCGCCTTGGGAAGGTGACGGCTCGGCATGCGGAGCCAGATCGGGCCGGGGCTTCTGCGCGGATGTGGAGGTCTCGGATCAGCCCGACGGAGCGCAGTACCCCTTCTCCGGCCTGGACGACAGAGAGAGGTGGCCCCTGGTGTTCTACAACCGGACCTGCCAGTGCGCAGGTAACTTCATGGGCTTCAATTGTGCCGACTGTCAGTTTGGCTACTTTGGGGAGAACTGTAACGAGAGGAGAGAGTCTCTGAGGAGGAACATCTTCCACCTGTCCAGATCCGAGAGAGTCAGACTCGTGTCTTACCTGAACTTGGCCAAGCAGACAGTCAGCAGGGACTACGTCGTGGCCACGGGGACCTTCAGGGAGATGAACAACGGCTCGAACCCGATGTTTGCCAACGTGTCCGTGTATGATGTGTTTGTGTGGATTCATTACTACGTGTCCCGGAACGCGCTGCTGGGCGGCCCGGGGAACGTGTGGACCGATGTGGACTTTGCGCACTGGGCGCCCGCGTTCCTCCCGTGGCACCGACTGTACCTGCTGCACTGGGAGCATGATATCAGGAAGCTGACCGGGGACATGAGCTTCACCATCCCGTACTGGGACTGGAGGGATGCCCAGGCCTGCGATGTGTGCACGGACGAGCTGATGGGGGGCAGCAGCCCGCAGGATCCTTCTCTTCTCAGCCCGGGCTCGGTCTTCTCTTCTTGGAGGGTAAACACACGCTAAAAGCATCCTTGGATGTCTTTTTTTTCTTTTCTTAAGTCTCTTTTTTCTTTTCCTCCCAGCAAGCCTAATATTTATTTATGAGTAAGATTAATTCTCACTTAAAATAATGACAGTATGAAACAAGAGGTCGCCTTTAAATGTGACCTCTGACCTTAACAAATTTATATCACAAAGGTGTTGGATAAATTCAGTGTTTTAAATGAATGGATGAATGAAAAGTGCAAGGATAGTTGCATATTGAGTAAAAACATCTGATCAAGTGACTTGTAAAACATTTTATTCATGAATGAGATTTACACAGTAAGTCAGTGGCAGGGCTTTCAAACTCACTGTAACCAATTTCAAGTAAATAATTCTTAATTCATTGTAAGTTGTCTGGTATTCACTTTACTGCCGGGATTTGTGTGTCATGTTCATGCTCACGTGCGCCACATATGACTTTATCTATCTGCATCTACAGGTCCTGTGCTCCCAGGCTGAGGACTACAACAACAGAGGTGTGTTGTGCGACACCAGTGATGAAGGCCCGGTGCGTCGTAACCCTGGAAACCAGAACCGTAACCTGGTTGAACGATTACCAACTTCAGCGGAGGTGGATTTCACTCTGAGTTTGACCAACTATGACACCGGAGCAATGGACCGCACTGCCAACATGAGCTTCAGAAACACTCTGGAAGGTCAGATAAGCCCCACCACATATGCACACAGACGCACACACACTGTGATTTCCCACACTGCACTGCTACTCCTCACTTTAAATGTGATAAACTGGTGCTCTGTCTGTCCCATAATGTGCTGCTTATGTGTAGAGAAAGTGATTTTTTTTTTTATGAAACATAGAGCTACAATTAATTACTTATTCAAAACTAACATTGTGTATATGCACCTCATTTCACTCTTGCATTAATATAATATGGGCTGCAAGGTGGCGCAGTTGGTTAGCACTGTTGCCTCGCAGCAAGAACGTCGCCGGTTCGCATCCCAGTGGGGGCACTGGAATCTTTCTACGTGGAGTTTGCATGTTCTCCCCGTGCAGCGTGGGTTCTCTCCGGGTTCTCCGGCTTCCTCCCACAAGGTCCAAAAACACGTTGAGGTTAATTGGTGATTCTAAATTGTCCGTAGGTGTGAATGTGAGTGTGCTTGGTTGTCTGTCTCTAAGTGTGGCCCTGTGATAGACTGGTGACCTGTCCAGGGTGTCCCCTGCCTTCGGCCTAAGTCGGCTGGGTTGGGCTCCAGCCCCCCGTGACCCTAGTGAGGATTAAGCGGTGTATAGATAATGGATGTATGGATAAATATCATATCAAACTGTGTATGCATTAAAAATTCTGCACATATCCAGCTATTGAGCCTAAATGACACATAACTAAACAGCCGTTTTCTTTTTATAGAAGGCTGAAAATCAGCACAGAGCTGTCCAAATAAAAGCTATTTCTAACATAGTGTTAGAAGCCTGTGATGGTTTCCTAGGATACCTATATTGGGTCTGAACATATTCACATACTTGTAGAGAAGAAAGACAGTCAGTCCGCTGCGGGAGAGCTTTATATGGAGATTGCCATTGTTGTAAACATCTTGTACAATGCTCGCTCATTTCAACACACTGCTGTGCACGAATAATACCCGAAACAAAGAAAAAATGACTCTCTTGTTTCATATTTTCAATAAGATGGAGTCTTGTTTTTTTTTTTTTTTTTTTTTTTTTAAAGAAATGCTATCATTTGTTTTGATTGTGTGCTACAGTTACCAATTTTGCAACATAAAGCTTTGTTTTTTTTGCACCCTAACAACTACTTTCACCCAACTTTTTGAGTTCTGATGAGACACTTTTCATCCTGCAGGATTTGGGGACCCTCAAACTGGGTTAGGAAGCAGTTCTCGTTTGGGCATGCACGCTGCTTTGCATGTGTTCATGAACGGATCCATGTCCTCGGTGCAGGGCTCCGCGAATGACCCCATATTTCTTCTTCACCATGCATTTGTTGACAGGTGAGACACACTCAGACACATATTTTATAAATTATACATGTACATATACACTTTCTCATAACGGTTGTACCATATTTGCTTTCTTTCTCTGTAACAGTATTTTTGAGCAGTGGCTCAGGAGGCACAGACCGTCTCCGTCCCAGTATCCGGAGTCTAATGCTCCTATAGGGCACAACAGTGAATACCACATGGTGCCGTTCCTGCCCCTCCACAGGAACAGGGAATATTTCATTTCCAGCAAGGACCTGGGATACGAATACTCCCACCTGCTAGATGCCAGTAAGTTCCCTTCTGAGTGGAGCTGGCTTTTGACAAGATCACTTCCTTCTCTTCATTACCTAATTGCTAATCTCCTTTTCTTTTTCTTATAAGAAATCCACCAGTTGAATCTATTTAGCAAAAAAAGATATCCTGACAGTGAAAGGATTAGAATTGTCCCTGCACAGATTTTGGTAATTTACTTGTCTTATTTTATCTCTAGCTTAGAAGTAAGCTTGTTTTTCTTTTTTCTTTCTAGGTCAGAGGCTGGCAGAATCAATGCACCCTTACCTGGAGGAGTTGCGGGATGTGTGGCCCTGGCTGCTACTTGCGGGGCTTTGTGGGGGAATTGTGACAATAGCCATTTCTGCTGCCGTCATAACTGCAAAACGGCGATACAGAAGACCCTCTTGGCTGCGCGTAGGGAGGTGGAAAAACGCATTTGCTCTCCCAGAAAGACAGCCACTTATCTCGAGCAGTGAAAGCGTGGAAACCAACCACCGTAACTACCAAACAACTATGTGAAGTTACAGCCGGTGTAGTGGCATACCTGTCAAAAAGGTTAAATATCAAAGCACTGTGAACGATACATTAAATAAATGCAATGATCTTTGTCAACGCCAATGTATTTAAACTGTATTAAAATTGTAAAAACTGCATGCAGCAACTTTTAAAATGGATTTTGAGACATGTTAAGACTTTGAACATGGTCCACCCACAACTTGTAACTTGTCAAATTCTACCCATCAGATCATTTCAGACATGGTGTGCACAATATTTAGGGTTTCTGTCATGGAGATGTTCCATGATGACTTTTCACATTTATTCACCAGGGTTCACGCAGTTTCAGCTCGTCACCTTGAAAAATCGGGTTCCGCAGTGCGTTGCATCAGTCACGCGCGTAAACCCTTATAACAAAGAAATGATATACGCATGCATCCAACTTCAATTCAAGAGTTCAAAAAAGCTGTTTGGATAAACTTGCAGAAGCCTTCGGGGACGTTGTTTGATTTTATTTATGTGGGAGTTGATTGAGCCAGGTTTTGATTAACATTTCAATTGATTTATGTTTGTGATGTGAGACGTGCTTTCGGAAAAAAAAAAGTGATAACGCCAGTGTTTGGAAGGCACGATCTGAGACGTCAACAGAATCAGGACTCAGTTCAATATTCTAACCTTAGAGTCGTTTAATAGAGGAAAAACTCTGACATTTGTAAAAAGCCATTGCAATCCCCCAAAGTTGTTGTAGTTCAAAATCTTCTCTTGAAAGGTCGCATCTACTTTAATTCATGAGAAGTGTTTCATTTCGCAAGGTCCCAGTGGTTGGAGGAGTCTGACATTAAAAAACGAAACCTGTTCTGCATATGTCTGTATTCAAATAGACTGCGGGATATAAAACGTCACACACACACAAACACATAACACCCCAGTTTTAAAATTTCAACACAAAAGTTTATTTTTTTTTTGGTAAGATAAATTGCCTCCCTAATAATCTTATTCTTTCACCATGTCTCATTCAGCCAAATATATTTAATACATTCTAAGCCTTGACACATGCTGTCTAGCATAATATTCTTATAATACAGTACTTTGCTCAAAATACTTTGTATTCAGTTGGCATTCTTAGATATTACAGTTCATTCTCATTAAAACTGTGCAGTGTTGTTTTGACAAGAAAGGAGGAGATAAATACAGTATTTGAAAGCAACACGTGTACAAAATATACATGAAGCATAATGATGTAAAAAAAAACAACAAAGTAATTTAGAGCAAATCTACAACTTTAACTGTGAAAAAGTTGGGATAGTTGGAGCCCATCTGCCAAATATTTCATTTCAGAGTCCCGAGGAACTATTTTATTTCTTATGACACAATTTATTCAGAATAAATTCAGCATTACACGAGAATGGATAACTTACTGATGTGAATTCCCAACTACACAGAGCAGCTTTTTTAAATCACACATACATGGAAATATATCTATTAAGACAGTATTTAATCTGACGTGATACTGTTGGACAAAACAATGCAATCATTTATATGATTTATGAAAGGATGGAATGAAAAACAATTTCAAATGAGTCAAGTATGAAACATGGAAATGTGCAGATGGAATAATCTTGAACAAAACATGACTAAACTGATGAAAGACGTTGACAAATGTGGTTCATTACGATGACATGATGTGAGCAGTTCACACAGGTTTGAGATAAAGCGTGGTCACACCTGATTCTTATGGTATTGTGTGTTCTTATTTTTCAGGGTAATTCAGTGCAATTAAACTGTTTAGTTGTCATCTGGTTTGACTGGAAAGTCTACTAAAAAAAAAAAGTCAGTGTCCCTCCTTTTATCATGGTGAGAAAGTGTTGGAAGGAACACCTGAGGATTCTTTAGCGTTCCAACAAGTGAGAGGATGAATCAAGATCCAAAAACTGAGAAAAATGGACAGAGTTAAGTACTCTGGTCACTAAGAATGATAGGGTAAACACTGCAAATGTCGAGGAGTAAAGGCCAAAGTTCCATAACAGCAAAAGAGGCGATTCTTTAAAAGAGGTAAAGAATGGACTGTGTGGCTTGTGGCCTTTGATTCAGCTAAAAACACACCCGCTGTGTCTTTATTTTAAATCCTTATCATTCGTCTTCATCCTCGCTATCGTCTTCTTTTTTCTTCTCGCTCTCCTTGGGTGGGGGGACGGGGGGAGGCAGGTCCAGACGAGCCCAGGACATCGGCTCGGACTTCTTCATGGCCACCTCGATCTTGGCTGCCATCATGTTCACTATACTTTTACTCACATCTATCACCTACAAGGAGAGGGAGGAGTAAAGTGGTTTGACAAAGGTGGCAAGAAAAACCCTCCACGTATAAAAATTATCTTATTTTCAAAGCTGAAATGTGTGCCGTCAAAAAAGTACAATCAATTAGACCTTTACTTGGCTGTATTTTCACAAAATGATGTTATTCTAGTGTTGATCACTGTGGCATATCAAAAAAGAAAATGTAGCTCATCAAAGTATGTTAAACTGTGGTGAGTACTAACACTATATGCTGTATATATTTAGCAAAAACCACAAGCCATTTCTCATCAGAATGAATAACACTGTACTTACTCCCCACAAGCTGATTTTCTGCTCAAACTCCTTCTCTCCTTCAAATATAATGTGGATGTTGAGCTGAAGCAGAAAAGTGAAATCAACATTAGATTGAGAAGAACAAAACAGTCACTTGAGATTATGGACAAAAAATTGTTTGACAGCCTAGAACATCCCTTACCGTGGTGCTGTTAGCATCCACGTAGCTTAGCTCTGGGACGGCATTTTTGGAGTAGATAGAAATGATGACCTGCGTCCCGGTCTGGTGCCAGTCAAACCGGCACGGGACCACCTTCTTACCCTGCAAGAAGATTTCAGATAACACAGTGCTCAAGACTCGGCGACTCAGCCTCTAACACAAAGAGCTCGCCAGACACCACTAGATGGAGTCGCAGCTGAGGCGCTTTCACACGGACTCGCACACATAAATGATCACTCGCTGTCAAACCGGCACACGTACCGCATCTTTTTTCCTCCATAAATGTGTTCCCTTGGTACAGCCCTCTTGAGAGAGGAAGGTGTTAAAATCTGAGGTTTTCCTCTTACAGCAGCTCCAGTATTTCATCCTTTAGATGCCGGGAAGACAGAACACCCGCCGGATTTTTATCAGTCAATAACTTGTCACTCAAAAGCACCAGTAAACAAGACTAACAGGAAGAATAAAAGACAAATACTAATGCCGCGCTTCATACTTCTTTCACAGTTTCCACAGAATGTCTGGTGCGTCGACAGGTATGGGCTGTTGCGTTTGAAGCAAAAATGATCAGTAATACTAACCCTTCATGGAAGATGGGAAATCCAGAGTGGTATAAGCACACATCGGAATCACTGGCAGGCCCATCAAAACTCTGAATAAAACAACAAAAGGGTGGTTCAAAAGACAGAAGCAGATTGTTTTTGTTACAAAAAAATGCAAATAAGGATAAATGGGACATGTATAGTAATTAGCTTTTCTTCAGCTATTGAAACTCTTCATTAATAGTCATGAGTTCCCAATTAGACATGTCTAATCTTCTTGTAGATGATGTGATGCATAAGAATCTTCTAAAATCTACTGTTTATTAAAATCGACAGTACCTTTTGGAATATTACTGCAATTATAGAGGCCAAAGTAAAAATCTGGGCCACTATCTCTTTCCCTGTTCAAAAATAAAGTACCACTTTAGCTTTTACCAAGACCCCAGCTGATTAACAAACTACAACCAAGCAGCACTTACAAAAACGTCTTATGGCTTTCAATCAAATCAGCTGAAGTACAATTATGTAAATCATTAAAGTCCCACTCTAAGCTTCTACCAAACATGTCAATGTGAATTTTCCTCACAATTTGTGTTCTAATCTTGGAGTTTCTGCTTTGACAGGACAGATTAGCTAAAGCAAATAGAAACTTAGCTCTCCATGGTCTCAGATAACATGTGGAGGTTCAGTATCTCCTCACCCAGTGTTGAGTTCTTTTGGGTTATAAGATTTATCAGGATCATCAACAGCTTAAATGATTAAATTCATTCTTGCAATGAATGAATTTTGTTTTCATTCATTACAAGTGCAAATTCTAGATTTTCGAACACAAGAATCAATTTTGTTTTTGATATCGAGAAAAGCTGTTGAAAACTGAACTGCTGTTGCTCAGGCTCCACAGACAGATGGATAAAGACACAGATCCAGATACTAATTTTAACACAAATGACTTAATTCCAGAATATTTCCCTATTGTACAGCGGCACATTCACCTACTTTTGTACATCCTCCGTTTTTACAAGATGTTCCAATTTTGATCTCATCACCATCTTCCTCTAAAAAAAAAAAAAAAGACAGAAAAAGAGAGAAAGAAACATTACCTATGTACAGAATTTATTTGAAAATGCATTGACAGCCATGATGTGTTGCTCTCTCTCGCTGTCCCCTTTAACTCAAATGGCATGATGTGAATGACACAGGTGATGGGAAATTCCCTGCGGCCATCCATTAAGTTCTACTGTCAACATGACCTTCGTGTCTACTATAAAAAGCAGTGGATGGATGGTTTTCCAAGATGAAGTTGATGGGGAAAAAAAAAACTGAAACATGCAAGAGAGAGAGAGAGGAGGAGAAACAGACGAAGATAAAGTTCTGTTCTCACCTTTCTTCTCTGCAGCATTTTCAGATAGTTTCAGTTTCTCCAGAGCCTGCTTCAGGGAAGCAGAGACTTTATGCTGCAATCTCACCATTGGCTCATCAGCACTGTAACAACAGCAAATACATCAGGAATGAAACTACAATAAAGAGAAAGACAAAAAAGAGCTTTTTTTTCCATTTGTTAAAACTATTTGGGAGGCTATAATGATTTTTACTTCAAGTAAGATATACAACATTGGCAGCAACACTTCAAAATTAGGTCTCCTGTGCAAAGCCTGCCAAAGACCAATACGCTACTTGAAAGGAGTTTTACTATTCAGTCGTAATCGCTTCATCAGTTGCCTGTCGACTTTCTTTTGAACTCTGGTGGGAAGTGCCCAGGTTAAAAGGCTAGAGAACACCTCGTACTATCCTGAGGATGTTCAGTGTGATTTCAGGCTGATTTAATACTCTGACACTCCACCTAACCTTTTATATGCTTAATACTAAAAACCAGAATAATTCAAACACAATGTAGTCCATGAGATTAAAAGCATATACTATTAAAATATTAATTTGAAAGCCCTGTCGAAGCACTGCATGGAAAAAGCTTGTTTTTCTTGGCCCTGTTTCCTTTGAATAAAACATAAAAAAAACACTGGTACTTTACAGTTTGAGCATAAAACATGTCAATAAGTATTGGCTAGATATTTGTAACTCCAAAACTGTTCCCGCTATACTTAAAAAGGCAAACGCTGCACAAATAACTGGAGCTTTGGATACTTCTGTGGAATTGATTTAATTCTAAAAATCTATGGTCGAAACCAACCTCGGTCTGCGTATCGCCTCCTGAGGTTTTGGTGCGGAGATGATGTACTCATTAAACTTTGGTTTTTCTAAGTCTTTCTTTTCTCCCGATGATGTCACGTCTGGCTTCACTGGCTCAGGGGGCTTCTCTTTGTTGTGGGGACCTTTTGTACAGCCCTATGAGGAGAAAAATCACTGTGTTGGACTCGCAAGTGTTCGGGACAATATGGCCGCAGTAAAAGGTGGCAGTCAATACCCATAAAACAATAGACAATGGAGACATGGCCACGGAGAGGAGAGGAAAAATAAAAGAAAATACAAGACTCACAACAATGCTGAGGAAGTCTGAGAAGTCGGTAGTTCTTCTCTTGCAGCAGGACCATCCCTGAAGGAAGATATAGAGACATTAACTCTGACCACATAACAGGACATGAGCTCGCTGTGCATTTTCAGGCGTCTCACCTTCAGAGCATCGTGGAATACTGGGACCCCTGGATGATAGGTGCAGCCATCTGTGAAAAACAAAAACACATCTTTGATTAACCTGGAGGAAAAATATGCAGCTGTATATGGGAATACTGGATGTTTACAAGTTCATCCAAAATGCCCACTGTGGCAAACCCTCCATATGTTTTCCAGAGTGCTGAGAGGAGTTTTATAATAAGTTTGTGAATGCTTTGCGGTAATAATAAAACAAGTAAGAAGAAAAACTAACATGATGAGCAAATGAAGAAATCTATTGTCACATTAAGCATTTTGATCGGCAGCCATCCTTTTCTTAAAGAACAATACAACATCAGTGAAGCCTTGTCTGCACTTATTCCTCCTTTCATTTGTAGTACGTCTCTAAAAAGACTCGGGTCAGCAGCATCAAATCTTGATTTCACATGTTCCCTGTCGGAATGACTCACTGCAGATTGAGGTGCTAGTGGTCAGAGAGAACTCCAAAGTAGTTTGATGTCATTTTAGAGATGGAAGAGCAAAAAGTTTTACCGGTTCGTTAATGTGCACACAGCGGGTAACTGTACTACATCCAGAATCATCTGATGGCTATATGAATGTAAATTGTAAAATATAGTGACTGACACTGAAACGCAATTTGTCGATAAAGATAGAGAGCATAAGCTTTATTATAAAATTAGCATTTTTCATATATTCTCAATTATTAGGTATCAAAGTTCCTTTTAATGAAAAAAATAAATTGACTGTAATTTTCATTACTTACACAGAATTGTTAAAATTTGTCCTTGTGAAGTACAGAACACAAAATACTTCATTACATCAACTCTTTTTCAACTCTTACTTCATCCAAAGAACGCATTTGGGTGAAAAATAGTTTTACAAATGGAAGGAAATTCTAAATATAAGCAACACAAAAGCCAAACAAACAGCATATAATGAAACTGACACTAAATATGAAAACTTGTAATTAATAAATGCATGATATACTCGAGTTACTAACACAAAGTCTGACAACTTTGAGATTTTCCTTCAGTGACAACTGCTGCATGTTGTTTTTAATTGTTTTCTTTTAAGAGCCGCCCTAAAAACAAATTACTGTGGAATGAACAAAAAAAAAATTGGCTGGTGGACGCCATAAATCAAGGATTTTGCTTTCAGTACAGCCAAAGTCATTCCTCCCCCATGCTACCGCCATAGATACACGTCTAGGAGGCCTCTAAAAGCAATGATAATGCCTCATATGGTCTACTGTTATGAAAAAGTGGCATCCTATTAAAATGGAAATTAGACTTGAGTCCTGCATTGAGCATCTGGCAGTACACAACACAGAATTACTTGAAGACAGAGGAGGACAATTCTAAAGAAAGGAAATAAGGGACTAATTGAGGTTCTGTTGTGGGAGCTGAAGACAACACCACCACCTTCAAAGTTTGATTATATTTAAATGAGTTTCTTTAGATAAACAATAGCCTCATGAACAAACTTATAATTATAATATTAAATAAGGAAACTCAAGATCTAGAAGTGAATTATCCTGACAATGATATTTTATTTACACAATTTTATTGGGGTTTTGCTGGGTTACCGCACATGGGTATTTTATAAACAGAGCAACAAAGGAATCATTTCGGTTATGACGCTCTTCTAAATGTGTGAGGACTTAATAAATCAACACCCAGCACATAGAAACAGGACGATATACACCATAAGCTGTGCCCGCGAACAGAAAACTTAACCACATCTTCTTATGTATTTCTGGAGGACGTGGTTGTCGAATACGAAAAAAGCCAAATAAATAGAATTTTTGTGTTGTGGTGATGTTTTAAAAGTATTTGGTCACTGTGTTTGAGCCACACAATATATCAGCACCGACACCGTGATGTGTGAATGCTCCAAAAGGAAGATGGAACTCAAACACATCATATTACAGCTTTTTTTTCTGCTCAATACGTAAAGAAAACACCCATGGTTCTCATTTTCCATAACCAATCTGCAAGAGAAGGTAGAACTTAACTCTGATTAATAGGTTCTTGGATTAACAGAGTTTTTTGTTTTGTATAAAACTTTATTTGAAACACCTAGAGTTTGTTGACATGCAGGCTTCACATGTGCACAGTGAAAAGGTTGAGTATCACTGAAAAGGGAGATCTGGAAGTTGAATGGAAATAGTTTGGCTACAGACAGGATGCTGACCAAAAACTGGGACTCTGTCAGCAGGGTTTTGGAGTTTTGGAGTTGTTTGAGCATTTAAATCGGCAGCACACAACTCTGTATGACAAGTGCAAGGGCCCATCTGAATGCCATCCAAAGCAAATTAAACTTTGGATGCCTTTGCTAGCATAGCAGCATTTGACAAACGATCCAAATGGTTTCTTCCTGCTTTTTTTTTTATTTTATTTTTTAATAATCTATATTTTTCCCCCATGCAGATGCACTCCCTTACAAAATCACACTCATCACTTTCGAGTAATACTTACTAAACAGAGTTATTTACGTTAACTGGTAAACACAAAAAATCCTTGTATTTTTTCACATTACAATATATATAACAAAAAAAAACATCACACTGTCAGTATTTTTCCAATATCATGCAGCCCTAGTTGGAAAGGAATATCACCTATAAATGTAATATGTTTGCATTTGTCAAAATTCCTGACTTGTAAATGAGTCCCTGGTTATTAAAGATGTTGCTCTCACTTTCACAGATCAATGTGGAACTGCTGGCAGCAGACGGTGTGGGCTCAAAATACTGTATACTTTGCCTTTCCTCAGGCATGAGCCCTCCTGGTTGTAAAAACAGGACTGTGATCTCACTTCTTTCTGTGCCCCCTACCTGTGTAGCATCTCTGAACGCTGAAGGGCAGATTCGCTGTAGAAACTAGGTTTGCAACTACAACCTACTATACCTACATGAGACGGTTTGTAGAAAGACCCTGACAGTGCGACACATATGATCAAAGCCAACTATGATATATTCACCAGCTTGGACATGTTTTGCAGTCAGTAAAACCAAAGCTGCAAAGTTGGAAAACACCGAAATGAGCTGAAAATGCTGACAACACAACCATATACTGAAAATTGCGGCAAATACAGAAAACACAGCATCTGAATCACGCTGTCAGGATGCTTAAACTAACATTTGACTATTAGACATCACTGTCTACCAGTCAACTTTATGAGTCTCTGGTAACAACAAGCCTGTTCCAATCATACTCATCACTGAAATGTTGCATTCTACCTGCTTTATTATTGTATTTGATGTTTTCTGTGACTGCACAGCTTAGTATTTTCTCATTTTCCTACATCTAAATTATGTCATATCTGTTTTGTGAGTCTTTTTTTAAATTGCTCTTCAGGCCACCTTACATTTTTGTGTATTCAGTGCACATTTCTTTGTATGGGTTGTGGTGATTTTATGAGAATCCAATGACTGCCTCCAAGTCCCACTGCTGTCCTCAGGTCAGTTTGACTATTTTGCAATCCTCATCTCTCTGGAGTTTGCATCTATTGTATGAGCAACTTCCTTGATGACTCCTATGAAAGCAGCGAGCTTCAGACAGCTTCAAAAGCTGTTAAAAATATGAATATTTCACCATCTAACAACTAGTCCAGTTGACTAACGTTGTGATATAACGTGAAACACAAACATAACGTTATTTATTTTAGCGTAAAAGCCAAAACCACCACTGTTGATTGGCTAATCTTTAACTGGACTTTGCTAAGTTTCCAGACAAAAAAGTGTTTTCGCCGTTTCCTCTAACACATTGTGACAACATATGTAATGTCGTATATGTGCTATTTTAAGTCGACGTACGATAAAAGAGGACAACTAGGTGTTTGTGAAACTTTAAACCGATTACCATGTGCCGTTTCCACAACAATGGCTGTAAAGTCGAACGTTACCCTCTAACCGGCTAACCACAACATGCTAACAACATCGTGACAACGTTAACCCTCACAAGGCCCACGTGTTGTTGTTAGCTACAGCTACACTGGTCTTAATAAATTAAGTCGCTCCCGTGTTGGGATCAGAAAGCTAACATCAGGTTAGCTACGCGGGCCCGGCAGGCCTCCTCGCTGTAGAAATTTCCAGATGATCAGAGGTTAGCTTGCTAATGGTCTGGTAACGTACAGGGCACAGGGATAGTTAACTAAGACACTACTCACCGTCCGGGTTATTTTCTGGATCAAATCGCTGTCCGCATCCCTTATTATAACACAAAACAGACATGCTGGCGAGTGGAACAAGTTTAAAAGGTGGCCGGTTTTCTAACTAACCACTAAAAGGCTCGTGTATGTGTGTATGAGAGAGAGAGAGAGAGGCAGATAGAGAGCCGCAGTCGCTGCCTTGAAGTGCTGTACATGACACTGCTCACACTTCCGGATGTTCTCGGCTCCACTCGGCAAAGATCGGCGGCTGCTCGCCTCCTCCATCCTGCGAGCGCACCGTGGTCCCGCACAAGCGACAACTGATGCTGGCCGCTTCTAAACTTGCGTTAAGCGATGTTCTTTGTGCCACATTGCTCTGAACCCGCCAGCAAACGAACATCTAACTGCTGTAACGATAGTTTTAGTGTTAATTTCAGCGGATAAAGCCGGGGCAGCCCCACTGCACGCAGGGGTTACAGTAGTCAGGTGCACGAAACTGGGGCAATAGCTATTTAGTTTTACGAGGATGGCTGCAGTCTAGTAGGCAACTGCCTGTCGGGATATGTTCTAATGAATCCTCTATTTCGCGCATCACCATCGACTGTTTTGTGCGTTTTTGGCTCATTGTTGGAGAGAGAATGGGAGAGGATTTACTTTCACTGATTACATCTGTTTCGTCTAAAGGTAGGACACTTTACTGTGCGTGAGAGAAGTCTTTGCAAATCTGTGCAATATAAGCGACAGAGTGCAGCTGTAAAACTATAGATTGCTAAATCCTGTGGATTTTTTGCACGGAGGCGAGCTTCACTGGATGTGCACATGAGACGATAAGTGTGTTCCCAAATCTCCCGGGACAGTGCCTCAGTGTTCATGTGAGTCGTTGAATTGTCACAGCATTTTTTGTGTGTTGTTGGTACGGATGATCGATACAGTATAAGTGGGCTGAAATGCGTTATCAGAAGTTCTAGTTGCTCAAGAGATTGAATCGTGATCAAGGAAAAAGCTGGTGTAAAATGCATGGGATGCATGCAGTAACTCGTGCAACATTTAAAAGCATTAGTAACGACAAGAAGAGGACCATGTGTAAGAATAAATATGATAAACATGTACTTATATATTTTTTCTTTTTTAAAAATGTCACTGTTCTTCTCTTGCTATTATTGAATTAAACTGATGATAACTTAATTTTTAAAAAAAAGCTGTTTAAAAAAGTGTTTGTGCAACTAATTTCTAAAAAAAAAGAAATAGTGTAATATTCTGCAAAATGTTTGCTCTACTTCCATTTCTCTTCTGAAGATATCTCAGCCTCGATAGTCTCTGGTTAAAGTATCGTCTTGTGTCTTTTAGTCAGTCTTTGTACCTACAGTGATTGTTGCTGATCCCTGTTAATTTATTTGGATGACATGATATGTTTCACTGAGACTTGCTGTGCAAGTGTGCTGTGTTTTGAAGCGGATCGTTTAAAGACATGTCATTCTTTGCTTCAGAGCCTTTCGGGTGCAGTATTCTAGTGTTTGAATCCAAAATGTTAGCGCATCATAGAATATGCTATCACATCCCAGTAGTGATAATCAGCACCCCTCAAGTGTCTTTGTAACTTTTGTCTCAGAGTTTTCTATCAAATTTTTACAATACACAGTACATGTCTAACAAATCACCAACTGAAACCAGGTCTGTCTTTCTTTGTTATTCTCTCCAAAAATAGGGTGACTGGGTGATGGAATAGTGATGAAGCCTAATCGGTGGGGAAAAATGCTTCCTCTACCCAGCTGCTCTCATCTTTTCCATTTCATTTTTTTCCTCGTCTTCTTCTTTTTCCCCTCAACCGATGCCCAGTTCTTGCCAGAAGTCCGGGCAGGACAAGGCCAGCTGCTCTTCACCCAGCCTGCCTATAATTCCTCCATCTTTGAGAACTCTGCCGCAAGAACCTATATCAGGAGTGAGGTCAAAATGGGCATCATCCTCGGGCCACCTCGGTCTTTAGATATAAAATATTCCATTGTGTCTGGAGACAGTGAAGTCATCTTCCAGGCAGAGGAGTTTGTAATGGGGGATTTTTGTTTCCTCCGCATATGCACCAATGGGGGCAGTGGTGCCATATTAAACCGGGAAGTACAGGACAATTACACTTTGACTGTTAAGGCATCTGCCCAAGGAGGTCTAGAGGCCTTAACCACTGTTTATATCAAGGTCTTGGACACAAATGACCTCCGACCTCTTTTTTCCCCAACCTCCTACTCGTTCGTTGTGTCTGAGAGTGCCCCTCTGGGTGCCAGCATAGGACGTGTGACGGCCACGGATGCCGACGTGGGCTCCAACGGTGAGTTCTACTACTTCTTCAAGAACAGAACGGAACTCTTTGCTGTTCATCCGACCAGTGGCGTCATCACTCTGACGGGTCGACCCAGGATGGACAAACAGGATCGATTTGACCTGGAGGTGCTGGTGGTCGACAGAGGGATGAAACTCTACGGTAACAACGGTATCAGCAGCACTGCCAGGCTCGTCCTGACTGTGGAGCGGGTTAACGAATTCGCTCCTGTTCTCAGCACAGTCGCTGTTGTTCCATCGTGGGACGACAAGGACCCAGTCTTTGTCATATTGACTGTGGAGGACAAAGACGAGGGCATATCTGGGGATATAGAGTGGGTGTCCATCATTGAGGGTGACCCTTATGATCAGTTTATGGTCGATCGGTCACCTGTTGGGAATGAGTACAGGGTTAAAACAACAGATTTACCCAACTGGGATACATTCCCCTATGGTTGCAATTTAACTTTCCAGGCTAAAGACAGAGGTATACCTCCTAAGTTTTCTAAAACTCAAGTTGTTCAGCTGTTAGTTACAAAGCCAGACCCAGTGTTGGCCAATTTTGAGAAAGATGTTTATGTAGTCAAGCTGAGTGAAATCGCTCCCCCAGGCACGATTGTAGAGGTGGTGAAAATCTCCCCAGCTCCACTGAGTGTCAATTACAGCTTCAGCAGCCTCTCAGATCCAATGTACTTTGATATAAACCCTTTGACTGGAGTTATTATGACCACAAGGCAGCTGACAAGGATATCACAGAATTTTATGGTGATGGAGGTAATAGATATTATCAGTCAGCAGCAAGCACAGGTCCAAATTACCATAGAGGATGCTAATGACAACTCTCCGGTGTTCAACAGGCCGTCCTATGATATTGCAATCAATGAGAGCTTGCCTGTAGGTACTGTTGTTCTCATAGTGTCTGCTGTGGATGATGATAAAGCAGAGAATGGCTATGTAACTCACACAATCAGCGGTGAGCAGTCTCTTCCATTTGCTATAGACCAGGACACAGGGGAAGTCAGGATCACAAATGATGTGGACTTTGAGTCATCTGATGACATCTATACTTTCGCAGTGCGAGCTTCTGATTGGGGTTCACCCTACAGAAGAGAGAGTGAGGTTAATGTCACTATCCGTGTGATAAATATCAATGACAACCGGCCTCTTTTTGAGAAGGTTTCTTGCAGAGGGATGATAAGCCGTGATTTTCCTGTCAGCCAGACTATTGTCACCTTGTCTGCTATAGACATGGATGAGCTAGGAATGGTGCAATATAAGATCCTATCTGGCAACGAGTTAGACTATTTTAACTTAAGTCCAGAATCTGGTGCATTGTCACTGAAACAATCCTTAGCAGTGGATAATTTAAAAAATGGGATATTCAACCTGAAAATAGTTGCAACAGATGGAGAGCTGTTCTCGGATCCTACATTTGTGAATGTGTCTGTGGTGAGGGGTAGGATACCAAACAGGGGGTTCACCTGCAAGGAGACCAGGGTAGCCCAGTTGCTGGCAGAAAAAATGCTCTCAAAAGCGTCTGCTATGGCCCGACCAAGACTAGATGAGAGTTACTCAGACCTTTTCTCTATAAACAGACAGGCTCCACAGTTTGAGGCCTTGCCTACAAGCATTCTAGTGAGAGAAGACCTCGATGCCGGTGCCAGTGTTTTTCAGGTGCGAGCTCGAGACGGTGACACAGGCTTCAATGGCCGTGTTCTGTTTTCCATTTCTGATGGTAACAAAGACAACTGCTTCAATATCAACATGGAGAGTGGGTTGATAACTGTCCTGCAGTCACTTGACCGTGAACGAATGGATCGTTACTTCCTAAATATCACCATCTACGATCAGGGCGTTCCTCCGATGTCCAACTGGAGACTGCTGACTGTGATCATCGAGGATGCAAATGACAACGACCCCCAGTTTTACCAGGACAGCTTCTCTGCCCTTGTTGCAGAAAACTCAGCCATTGGCATGGAAGTTATTACTATCACTGCATTTGATAGAGACATGGGTCAAAATGGACAGCTCTCCTATGTAATGATAACCAGCGTCCCTCAGTTCGGTATTGACAGTGAAACTGGAAGTGTGTTTGTTGCGAGCCACCTAGACAGAGAAACATCCCCGATGTTCACGTTGAAGATTGAAGTGAGAGACAAGGCTGAAAGAGGCACTCGGAGGTCGTCGGTGACTACTCTGAGGATAATATTGGAGGATGTCAATGACTGCTCTCCAGCTTTTATCCCAAGCAGCTATAGTGCTCGAGTACTAGAGGACATCCCACCAGGAGCTGTGATTACCTGGGTGCAGGCTCAGGACCCTGACATTGGACTTGGTGGACAAATTCGATACTCTTTGATCAGTGACTTCAATGGCACTTTTGAGGTAAGTGATGCCACAGTTTGTTATGTCTATAGTCTTGAGTGTGTCTTTTAACTTACGGTTTCTGATTATTGTTTTGTGATGCTTTGTGCAGATTGATGCTGTGAGTGGAGTGTTGAGAATTAGGAGGGAGCTTGACTTTGAGAAACAACCATTTTTCAACCTGACGTTACTTGCTGAGGACAGAGGAGAACCCAGGCTGTATAGTCAGACATTTGTGGAAGTAGAGGTATGTAACACACGCATATCTGCAGTTAAACAAATTCTTATGATAAATATCTTCAAATTATAACCACTAATGATGTTTTTGTTGGTTCATTTCATGCTTACAGTTGTTAATATTTCTCCCACTATTGTAATTCTAGGGATAGAATTACATCAGTAACAGCATTTATATCAGTCCAGACCAAAAAGATTAAAAAAAAAAAAAAAAAAAAAGGACCAGATGCACATGCATAGCCATAGAGGCATTTTTATCACGTGGACATGCATGGTTGCTGATGATAATCACATACTACAGATACTACGTGC